GACGAACTTTTACAGGGATATCTTTACCTTTTTTTTACAGTTGAATACCGCCTTCATATTTAAAAGAAGTGCGGTATTTCGGGGTGTGACGCCGTGCAGTTCAGAGAGAGCTCCACGTTTCGGAGTAACGTAGCTCCTCCATCTTAAGGGTCGAAGGGAAAGCCAGCAAGAAAGAAGCAGAAGCAGGCGGACAGCTGGGCCGCCTCCACCTCACAACAGAGCGGGCTGTGCTCTTCATTGTCACCGCTATGATAACCTCAAATCCCAGATGTTAGTCCCTGTAGATGATGTTGGTGACCCATCCTCAGAGATGTTTCTCTTAAACAGAATAATTGTCTTTTATGATGAAAATGTGTCTCTTAAATTGTTAACTTTTACAAAGATAGTAGGGTTGCCAGTCTCTTAACAGGCGGATCCCACCAAAACACGTGGCTTTTTAAAAAGCCACGTAAATCAGAAAACTTTAAATTTGTATAGGTAAGAATATTCCATGTTAGGTATGTCCCTTGGCACCACGGCATGGCGCGTCCTCAGTTGCGGATGGAGGAGACGGCCTCCAGGTATGGAGGGAAGCTGCGAATATATTGAATAAGCAGTCGCGGACAGCCGATAAGGGTCGGTCCTTCAGCATGGGGGTTGGGCGTGAGGCTAACAACTCTTCACCATAAATAAAGAAGCTTGTTACAAAATATCACAAGGGGCCTCGGGCTTGGCCGGATTCTTTGGACCGAAGCGAGATGAAGTGACAGGTGGCTGGTTCAAACTTCACAATTACTTCTCCTGCTTCCATTCACTCCGGCGAATGCTAGACTGCAACTGGCTGGTTACTTTGACTCACTGACGAATACTCCTGTCATGTAGCTTCCGCACTGATAACACAGAAAACAGTTACATGATAGCTTTCACTGTTGCGTGACGTCGTGTTTACCGATTGCCTAGCAACAGTCGTTGCACTGGCTCCCCTGTTGCGTGACGCCGTGTTTACAAAGACGTTGCTGGGCAACGCTGTGTAGCAACCAGCGCGCTTCGGCTCGCCTTGGCTGGACACGGACAAACACCGCTTTCCTTACTGTTGCGTAACCTCGTTTCCACTGTTGCGTAACTTGGCAACCGACCATTTATCAAGGGTCTGTCTTCGTGGTAACTCATTCCACCTCCCGTTGCCCAGCAACAGGCAGACATGTCACAATAATAATAGTAATAATACATTAACATTGAGAAATTCAACATTGTATCAGACAGTATTTACATGTTTCGTGTTAATCTCATATTAAACGACGATTATTTCCCTAAGCAGAATTAACTGTGGTAGGTCTTTGTGATGGAGACTCGTCCTGTTTATTGTGAGGTATGAATGCAGTTTATATATAGAGAGTACTATTGCAGGCTTCAAAAAGTTGATAGATAAGACATCTCGAGTTCGCTGACTTCCTAATGAGGATATCAGGCCAAGAAATGAACGCTAAATGGACGTAAACAAGCGCCATTGCTCTCGCAGAATGTGTGCCGTATCCTCACTGTCACTTGGTGCGGCGTGACCCGCGTGCTATGTGGAACAATCAGTGTTCCTCGCAGCTGGCTGATGCCAATAAACTTGCCTCCAATCGCCACAATAAGATCGCAAGGCACCTGTTGCTTTGTGGGTAATAATTTTGTTTATCTGCCTCTCGCAACAACACGCGAGGCAGAGCTCTCCAGCCAGATGTTCTACTCACTGTCCCGGTATCTTGAACTGAGTTTTCATTAAGGCACAATGGTAACTATATGTACCACTTGCTTGAACATTAAAAATACTCTGAATTTTACCCACACAGTGTATTTGTGTGTTCCGTATGGTTCTCACAATAAACAGCTATTATTTCCCTAAACAGCATTAACCGGTTGGTCTTTGTTGTGGAAACGGTAGTGTTTCCTGTGAGGTACGGACTGCATTTCTATATATTATTTGAGGCTCCGATTAATTCCGTGAAAGTATCTTGATTACGCATCTTTTGCTACATCCTGTCCATTAATTTATTCGCCGAGACTGGCAGGATCACAAAGTAAACCATAGAAAGGGATGGCGAAATGGAAAGGATATTGAAGGAAGTGGTTGTGGCCTGATTTGAATATTATCCCGACATTAATTTATGATGGATGGACTATAATAATTCGGCCCTTGCACCGTGATCTTCACTGATCTATTGTGCTTATTATCCCGGCATACATGGAAGGATGTCGAATACCCGGGAACTACCCCAATCAGGATAGTCCATTTCTGGGTCTAAATTCAAAGCCAGGATTTCTAGAAGACGAATCGCCGATTCCAGAGTTTTACGGTTAAGTTGGTTTTCTTTCTGTTAGTAAGACAGACTTACAGTGCGGTTTGAGTCTTCGAAACTGCATTAGAGAAAAGCGAAAGAGTAAGAAGTGGCGGGGGAAGTGAGAGGACCCCCCTACATTTTGGGGAGGGGGCACATACAATTTTCCTGCGGTCAACGCTTCTAGGCCGTGCCCGCTCGTCCTCCTCGTAAAGTCATGTTTGAGGGAGGGTAAAGCTTTGCGAAGTGTACTTTGTTATGGACAGAGAAGAGAAGTTGAGCAGGGATTTTGCTGCGTATGATAGGAATGTTCATATTGACATTGGAATGGCTGCATTAAAGTGAAAATTTTTGTTTAGCATGAGAGGGCTACTTTAGAGTGAAATTTTTATTCATTTTACTGTATTGTCACGTGATGGGGGTGAGTACACGCGGTTTTGATTGGTAATTGGATTTGTTGAACACTTATAGAGCCTAATTACAAGTAACTGTAGCGCTATCGCTAATTCACACCGATTGTTGTCTGGTAACGGCTTCCAACGCCATAGATCTCTCAACTTCCGTCCTTACTAGCTAGCGACTGTCTCACAACTAACTAAACTTTTCCTGTTTATAACATTCATGCCACAAACTTTTAAAAATTTATTTCCTGGCTCACAGTAAAAACTGCGCCTCCATTACAAAGACCAGACAAAGACAATGATAAATTTCGCGTTTAAAAAACTTTTTATGTGTGTAAAAGAACAGTATCTTCATTATTAGTACTTACTAAGTCTCTGTAGTTCATTTCATAGCCAAGTAGGCTTCGTGGAGTGTCGCCTGTTCAGTGTGCTCAGTAATGCCCTTTGTCCCGAGAATGTATGTTGCATAATTTCAGAACGCTGCCCCCCACTGGGCAGCGATTGAACCGGAACCCCTTGCCGCTTGGGGTTTGTGGTACACACTCGTAATGAGGACAAAGCTCAGCGTCTAACTTGGGTTAATGGAAGCCGGCCTGATCGCACAGATGACACATGTCCATCAGCTGCGATCCGTTTCCACGCAACAGTTCAGCCATCATTTAATTACTGATGTTTGCGAATAAGCTGAGTCTCATGTTGCGACCGATGGTCAGTCGGCCCGTCTGTCTTGGTGTCAAGCACCCATCTGGGGCCTACGGCCAGATTTGTATTACTGTCAGACAGTTGCGGGTTTGTTGATATGGCGCACTCTCTCTGACTAGAGGATGGATCTGACGTTTACAATTGCTGCTGGTCCTCGCCAGCGCAGTCATTTTCTGGCTCGAGTCACGTTGAACTTCTCACCATATTTTACTGTCTCAGACTAAATTATAACTTGTCCCCATTATAACCACTCGACAAGGAGTCCATAGAAAACACCGTTTTTGTGTTGGAGTTCCATTGTTTCCATGGGAATATATTTGTTTGGGAAGCCGTTACTCAGTAACGGCTGTTGCATATATCGGGGCCGAATACCTCCACCATAGCCCTGCGGGTCGTGAAAGGTGACGGAAAGGGAACCCAGTGCCTGGGGCTAAAACCGGGCCACCCTGTTCGGGGGGGATATAAATACGGGTACCTGGTCCTCCAGGTTTAGGGTGTCTCGAATCTGAGACAGCAATATATGATGTGTCCCGCGAGATTCAGACATGAGAATGACTGCGCAGGAAAAGCCAGCAGTAACTGCAAACGAGAGACCTATCCTCTCGTAAGAGAGAATGCGACATAAGGACCATGACCGAAAGTGTTCAATTGAAAAAATAAATCCTGGCGGTTTACCGCCAATCAGTTCGTCTTGGCGTCAAGCCCTTTGAGACTCACGACATGAGATTTATTTTTCAACTGAACCCTTGCGGTAGCGTAGTTGGTTGAGGCACTTTACTACAAGCCGGAAGGTTGCGGGTTCAAGTCCCGATGAGGTCATTGGATTTTTTCAATTGACCTAATCCTTCCGGCCGCATTATGGCCCTGGGGTCGACTCAGCCTCTAACAGAAATGAGTACCAGGAATTAATTAAATAATTTTCCTGAGGAGTAAAGCGCGGCTGGCGCGTAAGCCTGACAACCTTACCGCCATCTTTCAGCCGATTGTCTAGATAATGTGGGATCCTTAACGTCTCACAACCCTATGGGCCTTCACGGCCTGTTACAGGTATAGCCTTACTTTTACTTTTTTTTACCCTTGCGGGCATAGTCCATATGTAATATCCTCTCTGACGAGAAGATGGGTGTGTCTGTTATGAATATGCTTGGCCTTTCGTCAAGTGTACGTATTGCACATATAGCGTGTTATTGAAAATTCTTCCTTGTGCACTATATAATAGTCCTCTGTCAGTATAGGCTTTGCAGAGCAGATCATGCCAATCTAACGTATCTTATTCTACAGCCACTTTGCACGGACTGAATAGAAAATATCGTTTTCAGGAATACTCGTAGTGTGTGTTTACTGATCCATTGCTTAGAAATGGGTTCTTCTATTGTTGCATGCATGTTCATTTCCGCAGGAGCCTGTTTACCGAGTCGTTACTAAGCAATGAACTATTCCGGCTTTCAGACGTCATGTCGCAATATTCTTAAACGGCGTAAGCGTAAGTCTGCGCACAAATTTTTTGGTTTTCCAACCTTGGAAATAGTCCTGGCAGCGCCACGGGCCCCAGTTATGAATACATCTCTGGTTTTCTAACTGTGTTTTTCTCTTGCAGGAAGCCCACAGCACTGCGAGAACGAGGGCGAGCGCGTTCTGGTGGACATAAAGGAAATGAAGTGTTTCACCTGTTGGTGTCGGGTAAGTGACGTCACTTTATACTGCCCGTACAGACCTTAACATGTGCACTAGTACTAAGTATCGAACTGATGTAAGACGCGCTGAGAATTCAACGGAAACTATATCACTTCTTATAGGTCTATAAACTTTCGTCCTATTTACTGTGGGGGCACTATGCTACAAGCCGGTAGGTCGCGGCTTCGATTTCCGATCAGGTTATTTTATTTTTCAATTGACCTAATTCCCCAGTCCTGGGGTCGACTCAACCTCAACAGAAGTGAGTACCAGGAACCTTCATGGACGTAAAGAGCGGCCGGCGCGTAAGGCTGACAACCTCACCGCCATCTGCGAGTCGATTGTCTAGAACATGTGGGAGCCTCGATGTCTCACAACCCTATGGGCTTCCACGGCCTGTTACAGGGATAGCTGTATATATATATTTTTTTGCCTGTTAGCACTACCTACTTTCTCCCGTGTATCTTCCAGTCCCGTTATCGGATGATTCGTCGAGGCCTACGTTTAACGCCAACTCCCACGGACAGCACTTACAAATAGTTAACTGTAGACCATCTTCTTTATGTAGAATACAGAACTGCAGACATCCTAATTATAAGATTATCAGTGCTCACAGAATAGACACGTTACACTGAAAGAAAGGGCTTGAACAGCTACATGCAGCGTGTTAACGCTCGACAGTCTGTTGCTCTTATGATTCTAAATTGCGTAATTTGAGAGCTGTGATCTCACCGTTACGTTACAGTTATTACACTGGGTGAGCATAAATGATCTTTACCAATTCGGAAATTGATTTTGAAGCAGTGAGGCTTCAAGATACAACATCCGAACATTTTGGGCAGTAAAGCACAACCGTCAATGTTTACTTTACCGCTCAGATATGTTCCATATGCCCCTTATTGGTAACTCTGTACACATAAACGTAATACCTGAGTGGCATCCATACATTTTTCAGGAAAGGAGACTGCTCTTTACACGGGCACCCATCTTCACGGAGCTGTTTGTAGAACTGAATAGATTTAAAAGCCTGGAAGATGCATCTGCCCCAAACTCCGTTACGTAGAGCCGTTGCTTTTGGTTCGCATATACATTTTACAAAATCGCGAGACGTACTCCGGATTTTGCAAATGTGTCGCTGTTTTACCGACTGTAGTGCCCCTAGCGACAGATCATTTCAGCTGCATGTGGTCGTTTGATTTCACGACTTTTGACAGTTTTCACCTAATGTGCCAAGTATTATCTTGCCTGATTTCTTCCCAGTAAATTTTAGAAATTGTAAGGATAGAACAACAAACAAAAGTACCCGCTCTTCGCCTTGGATATTCTGTTTAGGGTTCTCAATACGGTAAGCGTTCGTATTGTGGTCTTCTTGGGATGACACGCCGTTTATGTTCGTAAATAAGTACCAACGTTTCCTGCCCTGAAGATAGCGGCAAACAAATCCTCTGAAGCGTTGCTAACTTTCTATCAGAGTACATGGCGTTAATTCACAGAGAACTGTATTTGTGTTCAGTGCCTGGAGCCTCAAAACTATTCAATTAAAATCACGTTTGGCCTGTAGGGTGATAATAATTTTAGTTATGATGATTGCTATTTCTTAAGAGATTTGTTAGTTAGCAATAATGTCGAAGGATATTGCTAACCGTAGAGCTTCTGCTAAGTCTTTCTCTTTTTTTAACTTTATTGCTTATTCTCCCATGTACACAGAGAAAGGAAGAAAACCAGTTCGTATCTTGAGAATATAACAGCTCTATCTGCATTTACTTAAGGGTTATTCTCTAATGTACTGTCATAGTAATATGAACCATTTTTCCTTTGCGATAGGATGAATTATTCTCAGGTCTGTAGTTGTTCGGTTGGAGGTAGTGACGCAATATTAACTGCTAAACTTAACTAACTCTGTTCTTTAGTTTGGCCTGACTTGCTTATTCTGCCTGTAGGCAAATAAGAAAAACAAAACTTGGCAGGATTGGATTTTGTAAAGCCAGGTTCATAACTGCACTTAACTTAGGCCACTCAACACAGGTCTTCCTTCGAGACAGCTTGCGGATACATCGAGGACTGTAGCTTATGCTGTGGTCTCCGTGGAAACGCGGCGGATCTCAATTATTGTTTGTAACATTGTTGTACAGGAGCCGGGATAGCTCAGTCAGTATACTGACTAGGTTCGGGGTTCCGTTCCAGACGCGTACAAGAGATTCGTCTCTTGTTGACAGCTTTCAGATGGGCTGTGTGGGCCCCAGAAAACCTCCTCGCCGGTGGAGCTGTACTCCATTCTCCCATACGTCTTCATGGCGTGGTGCTTAATTTAACACAAGGATAAATTTATGCGTTGCTAGATAAAGACCTCGAAACGAACGAGTACGGCCAACGCTATGCAGTAGTTGAATAAACAAACGGCCGTTTCTGAGTAACGGCTCGGTAAACATGTTCTCGCGGAAACGAACACTCGCGCAACAATAGAAAAACGGTGTTTTCGATGTGGTCTGTGCAAAGTGGTTATAAGGAAGACAATTGGGCGATCCAGTTGGTTGAGGGTTGGCAGTTCAGTTGAGCTTTGCATGGGAGCTGAGGAAGAGATGGCGCTATAGTTGAGTTAAAAGAGTTCCGCACGGGCGGCTATGACAAGAGAACACGAGAGCGTGAAGCTGAACAATCCCAACTGTCAGAAGCTGTTGCAAGGGAACGGCTGGTTAAGACAACAGGCTGGAAAAGGCTTAGGGGGTGATATGGTGATGTATAAAGTGTGGAGATTAGCGTTAACATTGTAATTACTTGTAGTTCCGAGTGATATATATATGTTCAACAGATCCATACCCCGTCTATAATCACACATAAATCTTGGCAGTATTGTCACATATTGGGTATGTAACGCGACAAATAACTTCACGTCGTCTTGGATCTAGCGAATTTATTGCACGTTCGCTCTTACATTTACACAGTTTACAATTTTACAACTACTGCCATCGGCAGTATCACAGTTACGTCTCCTGCTTCCATTCACTCCGGCGAATGCTAGACTGCAACTGACTGGTTACTTTGACTCACTGACGAACACCCCTGCTATGTAGCTTCCGCACTGACAACACAAAAGAGTTACAAGATAGGTTGTACTTTTGCGTGACGTCGTCTTTACCGATTGCCTAGCAACAGTCGTTGCACGGGCTCCCCTGTTGCGTGACGCCGTGTTTACAAAGGCGTTGCTAGGTAACGCTGCGTAGAAACCAGCGCGCTTCGGCTCGGCTCGGCTTGGCACGGACAAACACCGCTTTCCTTACTGTTGCGTAACATCGTTTCTACCGTTGCGTAACTTGGCAACCGACCGTTTCTCAAGGGTCTGTCTTCGTGGTAACTCATTCCACCTCCCGTTGCCCAGCAACGGTTAGACATGTCACAGTATTATTAAACACTGATTGAAATTTGTTGAATTTTGGGGCGAACGAAAAAGTGTTCCGTGCCACGCAATGCTTCAAATTCTTATCGCTATATACTGTGATTCTACATTAGCTGCGCTTCTGAAAGCAATTAATATTATCATTTTGGTGTGGTGTGTGGCCGGATGGACGCTGCCTAGGCCTTTTTTGTATTTACAATATTTTTTTATACAAAGAAAAGTAGTTACAAAGGTCTGTATTAGCGAAGGTTGGTACTTGTACGTTTAAATGTCATCTGATCAGTTGTTCCTCACCCTCGCTTTCAGGTTGTATTCCCATTTGGATTTCAGGCTGAATAATAGTTCATGATGTGGAGCTCCATAATTTGTACTCTTCCATCAGACATTTCTGTGGCTGGTCAAATCAAGCAGGATTAAATTAACTTGAAATGTAGGGCGCATGAGAACTGCTCATGAAACAACGAAAAAGGCCGCTTTAGAGACTTGCATTACAAATTAAAATTTACTTTTAAAATGGGGTGTTAGATTTTGAACTGCATTCAGCTGGCTCTTGAAAGGAAGCTGCGAGAGGCTCCTGTAAACATTGTGATGAATCTTTTGGTATGGTCGTAATAAAAGTCATAGAATTATTTTGGTTAACTGAGCGACTGGTTAGCATCTCAACAAGGGCAGTGTCCGAGTCTGTCTCATTCCTTGTCCTGTATGATCTTCGCAGTTGATGGAGTGTTATTAAATTTCTTGCGAAGCAGCCATCATGGCCTCGCACCATGGAGTTTACAGTGAATGTGTTGTGGACCAACTGTTGAGCTGTAGAGAGAAGAGTGGAAGCCTTGCCCGAGGGTTCTGGGTTATTGTGCGTCTAAGGTATGCGGTCGGGCTGGTTACTTGATGGTTCTGCTTCGGCTGTCATATCAGAATTGACCTACGTCCACGTATAACTCTTTAAAGCACAGTGGTTACTATATGTACCACCTGTTCAAACACTCAGAAAAGTATGCATTCTGCCCACACAGTGTATTTATGTGTTCCATATGGGTCTCACAATAAACAGCGATTATTTCCCTAAACAGCATTAACCGGTTGGGCTTTGTAGCGGAGACGTAATGTGTTTCCTGTGAGGTACGGACTGGATTTCTTTTGTTTTACTGCGTAGATTAATTTAACGCTTGAAAGTGTTAAGACTGCCAGCTTTAAACTGCGACTCCGTGTAGTTTGATAGGAAGATGTATTTAAATTTTTGGAGTGCCTCGTACATCGGGAGGTGCTCAGTTCCAGTCTCTGGTGGGCTACCGATTATTCTGTTCGTTGTTTTCCCCATCCCTTGCAGACAAATGGCAGGATGATACGTCGAATAGGCCACGGCCGCTTCTTTCGAAGTCTATTCCAAATTTCATAGGTCACCTTACCATTCGACGATATATAGTCTAGATAATGACATACACATTTTGGAAGATCTAGGCATAGATGGGACGACAGTATTGAAATGTATCTAAAGAAACAGGATATGATATTATAGACTGGATTCATCTGACTGAGGTTGGGGTCCAGTAGCGACTTCATGTGAACAACTTTTACGTCACATGAGCAGCGGAGACTAGCTGAGCAACGATTA